GGCATAAGAGGGGCCATAATTCATACAGAGGGGCCAACCTTATCATTAGCCAATGATATGTTTTGAATCGTTGAGTGACAGAGTGGGGCGCTTTGGGGACCAATCAGCTTTTGACTGGGACCAATGTCTACGTGGCCCCGCCCCTGTGAGTCAGTCACATATCTCTTTTTTCATCAGCTAGAAAGAGAAGTGATGATAGGATTAGAAGGAAGTCATATGACTAATGACAGCTTGAACAGAAAGGAACTACATAAGGGTGCGATGGTTTTATTCCTGTGATCTCACTAGGCAGTGTCAGGAACCATAATACACCTATTAGACAGTGGGATCTTCATTCACCTGAAGCGATTTCACTCCTTATATGAAGGCAACTCCTTCATCTCTCAGTCAGACGAGCTGGGCCACAAATTCTGCCTTCACATCCCAAGCTGTAGGCCAGACACCCATCTGGATCTCCCTCTCGGAGCCCCGAGGTGTTTGCTCCTCTCTCCCGTTCCGTTATTACATCGCAAAACTACAACAAATCCGCAGTGACCTTGGGTGACCTAAGGGAATCCATGTGTGGGACGACACTTTGAGCTACTTCAGGTTTTACAAACTACTTTCAAACTGATTGGCTCCTGATTCTGCTGATTTTGTACGGCACTTTGTAAAACTTCGGCTGTTTGAATGCGTTTTAGCAATAAAATTTACATTACGTTACGATACAAGGGGCATGCAGGTGGGGGCATTATTTCAGCACACCGTCGCCGTGTCAGAGCTCCACGGAAAGGCTGGTCGTCGCAGGACAGGATGTGCTGAATATCGCCTACTGTATGCTGCCAGACTCCCCAGGTCCCTGCCGACCCCAAGGGTGAAAGCCGTAGAGGGCAGCTGTCATGGCACAAAGACACAATTATTAAGTAGGACCGCGGAATGTGTCAGGTTACGTATCGGCACTGAGGAGGACGCTCACTCAATTAACGCTGACATAGTGGAGGACAAATCCGTAGAACAAACCGGCAAAATGAGCCAGAACATACTTATTTTCTAACCCACTAGGACTTTAATTTCAGCTGCGCCTTTAAGTGTGAAATAAATCTCCGGAGAAGATCACCTGGAGGTGTATTTCGCACATAACGCCCTTTAACCGGAAGGAAGAGAGCGCCGGTGCGTCCGCTCCCAGAATGCCCGCTGTGGGCGCGAACGTCACCCGCGTTTCTGTCTCTGTTTGATACAGCAGTTGTCCAGGTTGGAGTTTATTGGCTGACGAGGACCGCATGATGGGGGGACACGGCATTTTCCAAGGTGCCGGGGAGAGACGCGAAGCCGGGTGAGACCTGAGGCGTGGCCGCCGTACGCCTTGCCGGGGCATCCCTCTCCAGGGGAGTGCAGACAGGAGAAAGGCCCACTGTAACCAGAGCGCTTCACAGCGAGATAACAAAGACAAACCATCTGGCCTAGACAGCAGCGCTTCCCGGAACAGGCGTGACTCACGCCGCCATCTTGTACGCCTCC